AGCACATTACAATATTGGAAAGGAAAAATGGTTTCATGGTTGTTGTAAAGGACAAACTTGAATATGATGGAAGAAAAATCTAAGTAACAACTGTAATTGTATTTCTCTTGAAGATACAAAGTGTTGAATGCCAGTGTCATCCCTGAGGGACAGTTCATTGACAACAAGAAAGCTTCAGAGAAGCTGCTTGGCTCCATTGATGTGGATCACACACAGTACATGTTTGGGCACACAAAGGTACACTTCATTATATTAATAGACATAAAAAAAACACTATTCATTTGCACTTGTACTTATGTTTTGATCTGCTGGAGAAGTCCCGTGTCACCTTCCAGTTGTCTGCTGAGAGGAGCTACCATATCTTCTATCAGCTGATGACAGGCCACAAGCCTGAGCTCCTGGGTAGGTACTGACAGCTATTTGTACCATGAAGCTGAATTTAGTTTCATAACATTTATTCATGCATTTCTTCTGGTCTTTCAGAGGCTCTTCTGATCACCACAAATCCCTTTGACTATCCAATGATCAGTCAGGGTGAAGTGACTGTCAAAAGCATTAATGATGTGGAGGAGTTCATTGCAACAGATGTAAAGACTCAGTTCACTGCAAATATATATATATATATATATATATATATATATATTTGATCATTTGTGGTTTTAAATTAACAATTAATTTAAGTATTTGTTCTTTTCAGATCGTGAGAACCAGTCTATCCTCATCACGTAAGTAATATACCAATACATGAATGTCACATATGAAAAAACACAATAAAACTCAATTCAACTCTTTCTTTAACTAGCGGAGAATCTGGTGCAGGAAAGACTGTCAACACTAAGCGTGTCATCCAGTACTTCGCAATAATTGCAATGACTGGATCCAAGAAGGCAGAGCCTACACCTGGCAAGATGCAGGTATAACTGCTTTTACTTGGAAAAAGTAAGTAAAGTTTTTACAATATACCAACAAAGGTGTAACATAATTTTTCTAGGGTTCCCTGGAAGATCAAATCATTGCAGCTAACCCACTGCTGGAGGCATATGGTAATGCCAAGACTGTGAGGAATGACAACTCCTCTCGCTTTGTAAGTGTTGGAACAGAAAAAAATACCAGGTTTTAAAGCAAACTGTCAAAATAACTGTTAATTTAAATCTGATATGTTTAGGGTAAATTTATCAGAATTCATTTTGGAACCACTGGCAAGCTGGCTTCAGCTGATATTGAAACATGTAAGTTTTTTTTTTTTTTTACATTTTATTCACTGTTGCTGTCTGATGTTATGAAATCTGCATGCTTTTGTCTGACACTGAATTTTTGGTCTTAGATCTGCTGGAGAAGTCCCGTGTCACCTTCCAGTTGTCTGCTGAGAGGAGCTACCATATCTTCTATCAGCTGATGACAGGCCACAAGCCTG